ATAATTTAAAAAAAAAAAAAAAAAAAGGTGGGGAATGAACAAATTTAGCCATTGGTTTTATTAGTAAGTGTCAGTGGCTTCTCTGGAGTCTAATCAAGAGTGAGTACAAGTGAAACGATTGCTGCCAGCACTCCAAGCGTAACCTGTACAGATCAGCTGGGCTTTCCCTGTGGATTCTGTTCCGAGGATGGCTGCACTGGGATGCCTGTGCTGGCCTTAGTTTTACACGTAAGGCTGTATGTGAGATGCTGGCTGTGTAAATGAATGAGAGTGTTATTCCTTACCGCGCAGGATGAAACATCTTGGTCCTATCCAGCCTTCTCTAGAGCCAAGGAGCGATGCTGAGCTCTCGGAGCTTTGCAGCTCTACTTTAAAATACTCTTTAAGTTCTAGTATCTCCTCTGATGTCATTTCTCATGTATTGAAGAACTGAGTTTCCTTCTGGTTTATGTTGGTGGAGTCAGTCTGGGTGCAATTCTGAAATGTTGGATGTTGCTGGTAAATGTTTTACTGCATTCTAAAAGCCTTTTCCTGAGGGCTTTAGAAGAAAATAGCAATTTGTGGCAACATGAACGCATGTTCCAAAATACCAGCTACTAGAACTAATGGTTAAACATTCCCCTATTAAAGCTGTCAGCAAATTTATGTGATAAATTTTTTTCTGTTTCCTTCTGTGAAGAAGAATCTTCCAGTCATAGGCACATCAACAAGAATTAAAATGATTTTTCATGAAGTAACATCATATTTTCAAACTATGCTTCCTTTCCATCAGCGTGCGTTGGGATTGGGCATGTCACAGCCTTGCTTTGTGTAAAGCATACAGGAGAGGATTGAACACTGGGAACTTCAGGCAGCTCAAGCTTGAAAACCCAGAACTGGTAGTGCATCTCCAGGGACTTGGGCATTCTTGCAGGGATCCTCTGAAGAGCATGAGATATTTTAAACCCCACAAATAGGACAGCATGAATTGGTGTGGGGCAGACCCTAATGCTGGTGGCTGTTTCGTTTTGCCATTGCCTGTGGCCTGCCTGTGCACGTAGCACTTGAGTGGAACTGGAATGCCATCAGAAGTCAAATACATTTCTGCATTAATCACAAAAATGATGCTTAATACATTTTTTGCATTGTTAGGGACCAGAACTTTGCTGGACAAGTGCTGGTTTTCATTCCTTTCCCATTTCTGAAGTAACCTTCCTTACCGAGTGAAGTGCCAGAGAAGGAAAAAGACAATCCTTCCCTCTCCTTGACTGCCTAAAGAGGCAATTGCACAATCCTAAAAATAACCAAGGAATCCGAAACCAGAGCTCTTGGTGAAATTCAGGCCCTCCCTCTGTGGGAGTTTTGCCATGAATTTCAAGGAGTTCAAGACTCCGTCTGATGTGTTGGCCAACGGCTGAAGTTGAGTTGTTCCTGGGGAGTTGTGCCAGCTGTCTCCTCTTCTGGTTCCCAGAATAACCCCTTCAATAAGGTATTCACCACTTGCAAATAAGGAATGGGTCCTGTAGTGAGCACTTCACGTTACAGAGGAGATACCATTTAAAAGTACACAGCAAACCCTTCCCTGAAACTTCTTGTGGGGGTTATTTTTACTTGTTTGTTTAAGATTGATGATGACCCTCTAAGAAAAAGGCAAATTTAAACATGCCGCTAGGGAACAAGCTGCAGTCTTTGAAATAATGAATGTTTGGTGATTGTTATTTACCATCTGACTACCAACATTATAACCGGTAGGTGCATATGACCCATTCATTTTTAACAAAAGACTTTTCTAGAAGATAATTCTGCCTTGGAAGAGATGGGGTTATGCTTGCTGAAGTCCAGATAGAGCTGACTGTGTATCCTCTAGCTCAACTCGTCCCACGGTCACGAGGCCGATTAACAGAATATCACAGGACCCCTTGAGGCTACAGCAGAGTTTTCCCTTTAGGAAACAAAGGCTGAATTTCCTGATTAATTTGCTTCTGTAAAACCTCTTCAAGGTGAAATCGATGTAGACACAAGATCGGGGCTTTAGCATTGACTTTGCTGTTGAGGTCTATTCTTTTTCAAAATTACTCTTTTTACAGCAATTTGCTCTCTAAATGATGGAGAGTTGCTTCTGTCCTATTCCCTTCCACCTCCGTCCCCCCAAATTACTGTTTTGCAGCCAAAATTGTGAGGCGCCATGTGCAATGATGATGAAACCACTGCCCTTGTATGTGACAATGGGTCTGGGCTTTGCAAAGCTGGGTTTGCAGGAGATGATGCCCCAAGAGCTGTATGCCCATCCGTCGTTGGATGGCCTCGACACCAGGTCAGTTGGTACCAAAATGGAAGTGCTGTCTGGTTTAGGTGGTGGTTTTGGGTTGGTTTTGGTTTTTTTGTGGGTTTTTTTGAGACTTTAGACGTGGCAGCGATAAAGCATCAGATTTATTCAGGCAAAACTCCCACCGGCCTTCGTAGTTTAGCTTAAGAAACGGAGGATTGAGCTGCACATCTTTAATACTGTGAGGTAAACTTATTGATCCTTTGGAAAAGGTGTTCTCCAGCCATAAAATGTTGACTATAAAAGAACATGAGTGTTTTAATGATATGAAGGTGTCTTATGGGGGAAAAAAAATCTAAGCAACTTGCTAGATTAATTAATACTTGCTGTATTAATACAAAGAAAAAAGGCAGAACTTTTCTAGCATGAGAAACCAAATGAATGATAGTGCTAAGTTCCTCTTACTGTTCCACTAAGCAATGGTATGGCCCAAGAAACTTCCAAAAAAGGTCTCTAGCGCATTGCTTTATCAACCCAAACAGCACTGGAAAGGATTAATGTGGCTTTTCTTGACCTTGGAAAGGGTCTTTCTGCTTAATTAACTTCCTAACAGTTCCTTTATAAATAGGAGATGCAGATTTTTGTTTGTTTTATTCATATCTGAGCCAGGTTTTAATTTTCTGGGCTGTAAAAACCCTTCCCTGAAGTTCTGTGTGTTCTTTTGCTGAGCTAAATAAGCCTGGTTTCACGGGCCTAAAATATTAACTGTTTTAAGGAATGCATTTTGAACACCTCTGTGAATTGTCAAAGTTGAATATCAGTGGTTGAAAACATGTCTGTTCTTTAACCTCTCAAATTGTTCATCGGCTTTTATTGGCGATTAGAGCTGGCATGGTATTTGGACAGTTTAGTAGCTAGGCAGCTGTATTCTTGAATCCATGGAATTAAAATGGATCCATGGAAAAATGAAATGTCTTTATGCTACTTGCTGAATAATGTTGTACCTCGTATGTTCATTATTTGGGGCAATCATGATAGGCTTCCTAATGCAGGCATGATA